AATGAGATGCCTCGAAATGCGTGCACACGGGCACGCAAACCGAGGCAATGATGTGTGTCTCGAAGTACGTGCACGCGGGCACGCAAACCGAGGCGATGAAATGTGTCTCGAAGTACGTACACGCGGGCACGCAAACCGAGGCAATGAAATGTGTCTCGAAGTACGTATACGCGGGCACGCAAACCGAGGCAATGAAATGTGTCTCGAAATACGTGCACGCGGGCACGCAAACCGAGGCGATGAAATGTGTCTCGAAATACGTATACGCGGGCACGCAAACTGAGGCAATGAAATGTGTCTCGAAGTACGTACACGCGGGCACAATGCAATATGCATGATATGCATGAAATGCAACTAAGATACAATCCTAACATACGGAATGCTATGAAATGGGATGCCTCGAAGTGTGTGCATACGGGCACACAAACCGAGGAAATGGCAGAATGCTATGGAAGATACAACCTAGCATGTACTATGCTATGAAAGTGAGATGCTTCGAAATGCGTGCGGGTTAACTCCTATTCCGGACACGATGCAATATGCACGATATGCATGAAATGCAACTAAGATACAATCCTAACATACGGAATGCTATGAAATGGGATGCCTCGAAGTGTGTGCACACGGGCACACAAACCGAGGAAATGGCAGAATGCTATGGAAGATACAACCTAGTATGTACTATGCTATGAAAGTGAGATGCTTCGAAATGCGTGCACACGGGCACGCAAACCGAGGCGATGATATGTGTCTCGAAATACGTGCACGCGGGCACGCAAACCGAGGCAATGAAAATGTGTCTCGAAATACGTGCACGGGGGCACGCAAACTGAGGCAATGAAAATGTGTCTCGAAATACGTGCACGCGGGCACGCAAACCGAGGCAATGAAAATGTGTGATGAAATGACATGGAAAATGATAAATGGACTTATACTAACATGAGAGAGCCTCGGCCACACTCACATAAGATGCCGTCGGCAGAAAATGAAGTGCCTCGAAATGCGTGCACACTGGCACGCAAACCGAGGTAGTGATAAAATGTAATGAAATGATATGGAAATGACGAATGGGCTTATACCAACATGAGAGAGCCTCAGCCACACTCACATCGGATGCCGGCGGATAAAAACGGAGTGCCTCGAAATACGTGCACACGGGCACGCAAACCGAGGCGATGCAAAAATGCAAGGAAACATGGCAAAAATGATATGCAAGCATGCCAATGGAATTTCAGCACTAAGATATGGGGAAAAACAGTCCCGAAATGTAGCGAAATGATACCAAATGCAAGGAAATGTCCCGAAATGCAACATTAGGCACCCGAAATGGCCTATAGCCATGCTAAACATGCACAACATGGACATGCGATGCAAAGACAGAAGCTAGAAAGTCCCAAAATAAGCACTTTTCCAGTTATAAACATGGCCAAATAGCAAAT